TTGGGGACCTCTGTGGGAGGTCTTGGGAGGGCCAGACTTGGGGCCACCTGGGTGCGAAGTTGCTGGTTACTGCCCTGGCCTTCGATGCTTTTTTTTTTTTTTTCCGAGATACTGCGGCTTTGAACTCAGGGCCTTCACCTTAAGCCACTCCACCAGCCCTATTTTTGTGAAGGGTTTTTTGAGATAGGGTCTCGTGGAACTATTTGCCTGGGCTGGCTTCATACTGCGATCCTCCTAATCTCTGCTTTCTGCGTAGCTAGGATTACGGTTGTGAGCCACCAGCACTGGGCAGCCTTTGACTCTTAAGGCCAGGGATACAGCCTCATGCAGGGGGACCCGACTTTCTTTCCCACCTCAGTTCAGCCTGCCCACTGGGTCTTGGGAGATAGGGCCATCCTTCCCCCAGTGCAGAGCCCTGCTTCTCTAATGCTGAGTGAGGGCCTCCCCAGAGAAACTCAGGGCAGGGAGAGGATCATGAGGGCTGATTGAGACACAGTCTGGGCCCTGGACCCTGCTCTGTATTTATCTATGTCTCTGACCTGCCTGAAATGCCCTACTCTGCCCTGTCAGCGCTCAGCTCCTTATGTGTTAGACTCACTTGCTTTCTGCCCCCAGTTCTTGTGCCTCATTCCTCCAACCCTGCTCCTTCTGTTTTGTGAAATTATGTCCCAGCCCCTCTTACCAGGCTACTTGGTGGGACCTCTCTGGGGCAGGCAGGCCTCAGGTCTGGCTCGCCTAAAGTTGGTTGCCTGACACACAGCAAGTTTCAGAAAGTAATCAATGGGTATGGAAGGGCTGGGACCCAGTTGAAACAAGAGAAGAACCAGGCACAAAATCTAAGAAGGTACATACAAATTCTACCTAGTCCTTCCTAGTGTGGAAGGGCTTCTCGTACAAGCCTACCAAATATAATAGCTATTTTTTTGAGTCTTCCGTTCTGTGCTAGGCATATTACATCTGTTATCTCATCTAATGATAGCATCCTCAATGATAGGTACTGGATAACATTTTATTTATTTGTTTTTTTGGTGGTAGTGGGGTTTGAACTCAGGGATTCACACTTGCTAGGCAGGCACTCTACCACTTGAGAGCCACTCTGCCAGCCCTTTTTTGTGTGGGTTTTTTTCAAGATAGTGTCATGTGAATTATTTACCAGCCTGGCTTTGAACCTCTATTTTCTTGAGCTCTGCTTCCTGAGTAGCTAGATTATAGGAGGGAACCACTGGTGCCCGGCTATCATTTCCATTTTTCATGCAAGCAAACTGAGACTTGAATTAAAATCTTGTGTCCAAGGAGAAGAGCTGGGATTGGACGGTAGGATTGCCTACCCCAAAGGCTGCAGGGATCTCTTGACCATCTTCCTTACTTGTCCATTCCCTTCTGCCTGTGGCTCTTGGGACCCTCAGGGTGCCCAGGGGTTCTGAACAACCTCACACTCATGGGGATGTCCATGTCCTGGGGATTTGGAGAGAATGAAGTGTTGGGGACACATTCTTTAATTTCTCTGGTGTACTTGCTCCCCTGGACCACAGGTTTCTCAGCTATAACATGGCTACAGTCAGGCTCTCTGACATAACCAGGCTTTAAAGGCAACTCTAAAGTAGAGAGCAACTCTACTTCAGTCCTGGTTTCCAGGGGTAGCGCCCAAGGTCCATCCAGATGAACTGACTCACCCAGGGTCCAATAGCTGTGGGTTCCAGTCACAGGTCTGCCCACAGTCTGTAGTGACTCAGTTCTACCCCACCACCTGTTCCTCCCAAAGCCTCTTGGAATTACACCTTGTGGGGTGTGGCCACTGCCAACAGCTCAGGAACAAAGCCAGATGTAATTTCCTCTGCTTGGTGCTTGACATCAGCAGTGCTGCCTCCTGGGGGCTGTAGAAGGGGCCTGGGCCAGGAACCAGGCCCGCTACTACAGGTGGGAGGATGCACCTGGCCTGCCTTTGTTTCCTTGGCTGTACCACAGCCCTACCCAGGGATCTCTCCTTCCCAACAGAGCCTTGCTGCTGGCTTTCCTCCACAGAGTCTGTCACCAGCTTGGGAAAACTTTGAAGTGTTCCTCTTTATCTTCAAGATAAAGTATTATGCAATGTTTAGGCCTGAGGGGTCCCTCTGCTGGCTTGTGGCTCAGTGTGCTTTCTGGACTTTTGGGCTCTGTAGCCACAACCCCAGCAATCTGGAAATGTTTGGAAGAGGGGGATGGGCAATGTCAGGGCAGTGTCCCCTTCCCTGCAGCCCTGGGTGCAGCAGGGCTGGACTGGGGGGTGGGGGTAAGCTTGACCCGAGGGCAGGCGTGATCCTAGGCTGGAATCTAACCTATGTAACTGAGTTGTATGGTCCCTTCCCTCCATACACTCACTGTCCAGGATAACATGTTTGAGGAGTTGCAAAGCCAAACCAAACATGGACTTAGAGAAATCCTGGTTTCCTTGGAACCACACTGAGTGCTGCTTGATGGTAAGAGCACAGAAGAGCCCATTTGGAATCTGCTGCGTTCTTGCTGTGTGATCTGGGCCAGTGACTTCATCTTCTGAGCTCCAGGTTCTGTTTCAAAGCACAGGATTGGTAGATAACAAAAGTTTGTGTGAAGAGCAAGCATGTGCTGAATGTGGTACAGCCCTTGGACCTCCGAAGGTTGTTTGGATGCTAATAGCGATCTCCATCCTGCCTCTGTTGGCTTCTCCAAGCCCCTTTCTCACCACCAAATCCTTCCCACCCTGCCATTCATTTATTCGTTCGCTCGATCATTCATGTCTAGGCAGTCTCCTTCAATCTGGCACCCTTCTCCGCAGTCTAATTGAGCGTCTTGATTTTCACAATCATGGCACTTACGGGTCAGTTCTTTTGTAAAATGCCCCCCATTTGGGGTTTGTCTGAAGTTTCCTGTTATTACTATTATGCACCCTTGGGGAGCTATCTCATATGTGCTATCTGTATTCGTTTTATCCTGTTTGTTTTCATTTCATGGTTGTAACTTGTCCTCTTGCTCATGATGTTCACCTTGAGCATTTGATTGACATCTGTCAGCCTTCTCCACCGTGAACTTGCTGATTTCCCTTTGTAATTAATAACTACTTGATAGGAAGTTACTTTGAAACTATGTGAATTCCCTATTCCTCATCAGACATTCCATTTATTCATTCATACCTAGATATACTTACCTTCCTTAGTTTACTCCATGGAATACAATGTTGCTATTATTATTTATTTTAGTACACCTTGTTTCAGATTTAGTTCCTGGTAGAGTGTTTAGTTTGCCTGGAACTATGGTTCCCAGGACTTCAGACTTTCAGTAGCAAACCCAGAGTTCTTATTAAACCTTGAGGGAGTTGCTCACTTGACCAGTGGGAGCCTTTCAGACTGGATCCTGTCTGCTGGATAGGGTCTTATCATTCTTTTAGTTATTTCCTTACTTGCTGGCTAATAAGATGTTACAGGTTCATCCTATACTGCTCTTGACCCAGCCCTGGAATCACCCATTTCTCCAAGAGACTATACCACACCACACAAAGTCATTTATAGCTGGTGTGTCTAGATCAGTCTGCAGTCCAGGGTCACACTTTACATGTGGTAGTTTCATCCTCTAAGTCTGTCTTGTCTGTTTTCTTTGTTACAACATTGACCTGTCAATATGAAACTGACCTGAAGAGACTGGGCCAGTAGCCCTGCTGAATTGCCCCTAGCTGGCTTTGTCTGGTTATATTCTCGTGGTATCACTTAGCTGGTTCCTCTGTCCTTTGTATTTTCTGTAATCTGAAGTTATGTGCAAGGCTTGATGAGTTTCTTGGTGCCTATAATATCCAACAGGTGTGGCAGCCTGTCCTCACTGGGAGAAGGAAGAGGCAATTCGACCCCTCTTTAATATGGTTGCTCTGTTTTTTTTTTTTTTTTTTTTTGGCTGTACTGGGATTTGAACTCAGGGTCTCAGTGCTTGCCTAGGCAGGCACTCTTACCACTTGAGTCACTCCACCAGCCCTTTTTTGGATTGGGTTTTCTTGAGATAGAGTCTCGCAAACTATTTGTTCCAGGCTGGCTTCAAACTTCGATCCTCCTGATCTCTGCCTCCTGAGTAGATAGGATTACAGGTGTAAGCCATGGTGCCCTGCTTCATTTTCCCTGCTGAGTAAAAGTAGTATGTATGGGCTCCATGCACTTTCTGAACATACTTCCTGGGACATCTTTGTAGACTACACAAGAAAGCTCTTCTATTTGCTGAGGTGAACTTGATCTTGGGGTTGGGATCTTGAATGAAAAGAAAAAAAAAATCACAGACCAAAGACACTGAGTTTCATCTAGCTGAGTGCAAAGTTAGGGAACCTGGTTCTGTTTTTACTTGCTTTCCAGACATGTGAACTGGGTTAAATCCCAGCCCTGCTGCTTACCCTTGGGCTTGGGCAAGTTACTTAACCTCTTTGAGCCTCAGGTTCCTCCTTGGATTTCTTATGTGACAGAGTTGTTGGGAAGGTTAAATAAAAGAACGTATGCTCGCCTGTTTTCTCCCCTAGATGGAGAGCTCTTTGAAGATGAGGCTAATAAGTAGCAAGATCTACAAAGATGTTTGTTGAATGAATAATAAAACATGAAGAGGAAGACAAGTAGTAGGGCCAAGTGATAAGGATTATGAGAAGAAAGAGGTCATCTTTTTTGCCACTTGCTTTTTCATTTCTGCTTCCATTTAACGTGTACCAATCTCAGGCTCCATGCTGAATCAACTATGAGTCTCTGCCCAGGAGTAGCTCACAAGGGTGGGAGGGCACTGATGTAGATTCATCCTGGAAGGTCTGCCTGGAAAGGCTTCCTGGAGGGGGGTGGGGATGAGACAGGCAGGTTGTCCCTGGATAGTGACTTCTGGTAGCTAAACCAGGCTTGTGGGAAGAAGTGAGTCCATGCTGGGTCAGAGGCCCGTTCCTTCTTGTCCTTCCCCTATGCTTATGTGTCCTCTGGTGCCCTGGCCAGGGCTCTGAGCCCTGTGTGATCCTGAAAGTCCATGTCTGTCTGCAGTGCCGGATGGAGTGCCTCGATGTGCCGGCAGAGACGCTCTACGATGTCCTACACGACATTGAGTACCGAAAGAAGTGGGACAGCAACGTCATCGAGACTTTCGACATTGCCCGCTTGACAGTCAACGCTGACGTGGGCTATTACTCTTGTGAGCACACTGATTCCAGCCCCCTTGGACTCTATCCTCACCACTGGCTAAGCTGCCTCTTCCCCACTCCCCTCTCTGTGACCACTCCCATGGCCAGGCTGCCCAGAGACCTGAGTGCTGAGCTCAAGGGCAAACACAAGAGTACACTCACCAACACACAGGCCTCACATGTTCATGAAGACACACCATACACAGACATGCACACACACCATTGAATGCAGAACCCACAGTCACATGCCATATATTCAGACAACTTTTCACGTATGTACACACACACACACACACACACACACACACACACACACACACACACACACACACACACACACACACACACACGCTCCCTCCCATTGGCTTGCATTCATATATGCAAACAGACCAGACTAGCAAGGAAAGGAGCAGGGATAAGCAGAGACAGTAGGGACAGTGTTCTGCTCTGACTTTGCCCTGGGTCTAGCTGTGGGACTGTGGTGGTGGTGGGGTACCTGTTGGGATGAGGAAGAGCTGACAGTTAACTAGGCATCCCGTTTCTGGCCTCTTCCTCACTCTCCCTTGCAGGCAGGTGGGCCAGTGGTCTAGCTGAACTGTCCCTTGCCGTCCACAGGGAGGTGTCCCAAGCCCCTGAAGAACCGTGATGTCATCACCCTCCGCTCCTGGCTCCCCATGGGCACCGATTACATCATTATGAACTACTCAGTCAAACATCCTGTGAGTCTACCTGTCTTCCCTGCTAGGTGGGCAGGGGAAGGTGAGGCAGGGTCAGGCCATATCTACCACCATGACTTCAGTGTGACTTTGGGAAGGCATAGGCCCGCTGGTCCCCAGTTTCCTTCCTATACAGTGAGATAATGGCTTTGTATCCCTGATGGGACTCTCAGGATCAGAAGGGGGCAGCATGGACATCTCTGTGGATAAGGGATGGGATGAACTGACTTCAGTTGTCTGGACTCTGGGACAAGGCTGGTGGGGAAATGGGCAAGTAAGAGGTGATCAGCAGGGTATTGTTGCCCTCCTGGACGGGTGGGCCACCTTGGTCTCCCTGGGCAGGAAGGATAGATAGGACAGGCAGGTATGGCTGATCTGGACCAAGGTTAAGTGCCCATGAGCACTCATGAGCTCTGACTCAAGACTGGGGACTTTCCCGAGGAAGCAGGGAAAGGCTTAAGAGGGGCAAGGATAACTTGCTGTTTCCCTTTCTCTTTGCCCATATCAGGTCTGGCCTGGCACAAATGCTGACGATGTGAACTGGTGTGTGTGTGTATGTGTGTGTATCACAAAGACATCTCCTCTGTCCCCACCCTGAGTCTTACCTCCCTGTGCCTTCCATTCCCAGAAATACCCACCTCGGAAAGACTTGGTCCGAGCTGTGTCCATCCAGACGGGCTACCTCATCCAGAGCACGGGGCCCAAGAGCTGCGTCATCACCTACCTGGCCCAGGTGGACCCCAAAGGTGAGGGCTTGGCCCTGGCAGCCTGTCATGGGATCCTTCCTATACCCCAGGGGTTGGGCCTGATCTACTAGGGATCTGGAAGGCCATCTATTAGGAGCTGTTTTGTATTTGGGGGTATCTCCATCTCAAGCCAGTGATTTGAAAAGAATGGGCCAAGGTGACAGCCCCATTCCTCTGAGGAGGCTCAGAGCTGTCTTCTTGGGTTCCAATAGTCCCAGCAGACCTGTTTCTGCTCACTGGCTGCTCCTGTTTGCTTTGTCTGTCTTTCGGGCTCTTGCTTTGCCCATCCTGGAGCCTTGGGGCTTCCAAGCCTGTCCTCACAGTGGTTTAGCTACTCCCATGGCTGCTGTGTAGCTGACCACATGTCTCTGTCTGCTGAGACCCAGATCACTGTGGCCATCACCTCCTGTGTATCTACCTCAGTATGTCTTCAAGGTACCTGAGTTGCACTATGTCCAAAGCTGGACTCACTGTCCCTCCTCCGGGCCTGCACCTTCTCCTGAGTCTCCACCTTCCAGTCATCCTGCTGAGCACCTTTTGGCCTGCTCCTTCTTTCTCAGCTCCCAAGTCCAGTCCCTGATTCTTCCTGATTTGCCTTCTAGGATAGCTCCTGATCAAGTCATGTCTCTTCCTACTCAACCACCTTGTCTGGCCATACCAGCTATTGGAGGAATTTTTCTAAAATGCTCCTTGTGGCGCTCATCTGCTTAAAATGCTTCTGTGACCCACTGTTGCCCTTAGAGTACAGTCTGAGTCCTTCTCCAGGTTTTCCAGACCCTCCATACCTTACACTTTCCCACCCTGCTGTCCAGGCAGCCTTTTCCTCAGCTAGATGTCTACACCTGTCCTCCATCTTTAGCACTCCAGGGCTGTGTCACTGTCCCCTCTTCTGCCCCTGATGCCCAGGGGAGTGTGTCTCTGCTCCTTCCTCTGTGGGCCCATTCCCTCCACAGAATATCTTGCACACAGCTGGGCCCCCAGACAGTCAGTTCCTCTTTGGGTCCTCCCAAGGCTTGCCCAGGGTAGGTGACACATTGAATGTGGAGTGAGTGGTTGACTGATGAGTGAATAGAGGCTGGTTAAGCTTTGAGCATCTTTGCTGGGTACATCCCAAGTCCCACAGCACAGTGGCCCAGGCCAGGGCTCCCTGGTCCTCATCAACTGTGTGCATCAGGGAGTAAGACAGGTGGAGAGCTGAGTTGTGGATTCCAGGTCTGACCAGGCTGGGGTATTCAGCCAAGGGTCCTGGAAGGACAGTCAGAGGAGCGGCTGAACATCAGGGCCTCCTGTTAGAGGGGTTAGGTAAGAGAAGGGGGTAACAGTGTGAGGGGAGGAAGGCTGTAGGCTGGAGCTTGGTGGGTCAGAATTTCAACCCCCAGTAGCTTATGGTCACCTAGGACCCTGTGCCTCTTCCATGAAGCCTTGAGGACAGAAGGGACAGAGTTGAGCCTGAGGACCTTGAGCACCTCATGTAGGAAGGAGTGAGGAGAGCACAGTCTTGTAAGATTGCGTCACTCACCTGCTTCTTTGGAGAAGAAGGTGGCCTCCCTGAAGCCCAGGCAGAGGGAGGGATTAGAAGTGGAACTGCGTGCCTGAGGCCACCTCTTCCTTCTCTCCTCCCTGCCCTTCCCTGCCCCCACAGGCTCCTTACCCAAGTGGGTGGTGAATAAGTCTTCTCAGTTCCTGGCTCCCAAGGTGAGTGCCCTCGGCGGGAATGGATGCTGGGGGCAGAGCTCTCTGGGGTGAGGGGGTGGAGTCAAGGATGGAGCTGGGTGTGGCTAAGACACCAGAGGGCCCTGGAGGGGCTGGGACAAGCTCTGGTCGTCACTGCTGCTCCTGATGCCTTGGTGGGTCAGCAGGCCATGAAGAAGATGTACAAGGCGTGCGTCAAGTACCCCGAGTGGAAGCAGAAGCACCAGCCGCACTTTAAGCCATGGCTACACCCGGAGCAGAGCCCGTTGCCCAGTCTGGCGTTGTCGGAGCTGTCGGTGCAGCACGCAGACTCGCTGGAGAACATCGACGAGAGCACAGTGGCAGAGAGCCGGGAGGAGCGAGCAGGCGGCGCTGGTGGGGAGGGCAGCGACGACGACACCTCTCTCACCTGAGAGCGCCCTGCTATCAGGACCGAGACTGGACTGGGGCCAAGCCTCGGGCGCAGAGCTTCCCGCACCTCCTTCCCTCCCCCACCCTGCCTCCTGGGGGCGATGGGCTCGGGCCCAGGTGGCGGTGAGGCCTGGCTGGATACAGCCCCAATAAATGATCCCACAGCCTCAGCCGGCTCATTCCTGTGCCTGCTTCCCACCCGCCCCTGGCCCGATCTACAGTTAACTTTTTTTTAACGCTATTATTGCTCTTCTGGCCTTTGATCCTCAATTTCCCCATGTGTAGTTGGGAGGGGGTTTGTCACCTCCTTGTCCTTTGTTCCTTTCTCCCTATCCATTAGCTCACTCTTATCACTTGGTTGTTTTTATGTTTACTTTGCTTCTGCTAGGCTCTTTGGATGACATCTGCTCTGAGGGAAGGAGAAGGTCTGGTCAGAGGTCAGGGTTCTCCTGGGTGACCTCTGGTCCAAGGCTCCTTGGGTCCAGCTGGGCATATGATACTCTCCCTAGCCTGGAGGAGGGTGGTCAGGGTTCAGGTGAGAGTCATGACTCCAGTGCAGTGGAGGGACCAGGCTCTGTGATTGTCCCCTTCCTAGGTCATGTCAAAGATTCAGAACTTTGTTAACAGGAACAGTCGGGCCCCTGGGACCCTATCCCTGGCCAGATGCCACCCCCCTCACCCTCTGCTCCACCTGGCTGCTCTGAGATCTTGAGGGAGGCTTGGGCCTACCCTGATCTCTGTGGCCCCTCTGCTGCCAGGTCCAGAAGTTAGCCCTGTATCCTGCTTCTCCCTAGTGTTTTTCACCTCAAGTTCTCTCTAAGGTCTGGCTCTGTTCTCCTCTCCTGGCAAGCTGCTGGCCTTAGTGCTTCCTGTATAAGGCACTATCTACTCAGAGTCAAGTCTTTCCCAGAGGAAAGGTAGATGGCAGGGGGTGGAGGGGCAGATTTACTCACTGAGACGGGTTCCAGTTCCACTTTGCCTAGTACTGGCTCTGTCACTTTGGGCAAGACCTGGAACTTCTTAAAGCTTCATTTCCTAATCTATGATCTGAGCTAATAAATTTTGCCTTCAAGCAAGGGTGCGAATTGAGAGAAAAGGATCTGCCCAGTACTTGGCCTGCCATGTAGCGGTGCACTAATTAATAACACCTTCTCCTCTTAGGGTAAAGCCACTATGCCCACCCGGGTTAGAGCTATTCTTCCAAATATCCCCATTATGCATATGGAAAACTAGAAGCCCTGAGAAGTTAAGGCCTCTGGCTTGGCTGGTCCCAGAGGTGCCCTGGACACAGGACCCAGAATGCCTGCTGAGCTTGGGGCTCTCACCTGTGTAAGTGCTGGGAGGAGAGGTGAGAATCTGTTTCTCTGGCAGGAGTATATAGCCTCAGGAAGGGAAACGAGGTGCCCTGGAAGAATGCGGTGTAGAAAGGCTTCTGGGGAAGGTGGTGGGCCATGGTGTCCCGCCTGACTTCCACGCCCCCTATCGTCCTAGGGTCGTGCGATTCACGGCTCCCGGGGCAGACTCACCAGTACCGGGGCAGACTCGGGGAGAGATGGAGCCTCAGCAGGTGGGGTTCGGGGTGGGCCTGGGCCTCAGGAGACAGAAGAGGACGTTCAAAGCAGCGAGAGGGGCAGGGCAGAGCCTCTGACCGACCGGACCGGCTGGCGGGCCAGGGGGAGGGCTCCAGGACCGTGACCAGGCGGGGGGGCGGGGCCGGGCCGGGCTCCCTGCCCCTTCCCGGCGCTCCCCTCCCTGGGGCGTCACGTGGGGCGGGCGGAAGCGCCCCGCGGGGTGGGCGCGCCGGGCCCGTTGCCGCGAGTTGGCGGCGGCGGCGTGAGTCAGTGGCGGCCCCGGGTCCCCGCGTGGAGTCTTCGCTCAAAACAGGTCAGTGCGGCTGCCCGGTGCTCCCGGTCCTCAGCCCCCTCGCCAGGTGTGGCCTGCAGTGTCCCCATTCCGCAGAAGGGAACGCCGAGGCGGCGCTGGACTCCGTGACCGGGGTCCATTTCCCGGGGTCATCTTGTCTGTTTCCTGCCTAGTGGTTGGGGTGAGGGTCACCTCCTGAGGATGGGCTGCCGGGTCAGAACCGTAGGGAGGACGGCGAGCTGGCAGACTCCAGCTTCCAGCCCTCAGCCCTTGGGCATGATGGCCCCCAGTTTTCTGGAGCCAGCTTGGCCTGCGGGCGCCTTGTTTTTTGTCACCTGTAAGGTGAAAAATCCCATCCCATTGACCGCGGAGACCTTTCATATCCTACAGCTCCGCATGACCCTGTGCCCAGGACCTGGGGCTCCAGTGACCTTGGGCAGGCTACTTCCGGTCTCTGAACCTCAATTCCCCACCACCAAATGGGGGCATGGCCTCCCCAGAGCCTACCTGGCCCAATTGCTGGCGAAAGGAGTGTGTTCTGTGAATGGGGTCAAGCTGGGAGTGGGTGGTTGGGCCTGGAGAGAGCGGCCTTGAAGTACAGCCAGGGGCAGTGGAGTGGGTTTTGGTACTGTGGAACCCTGATCAGGAGCTTTCTCAGATAGGCTTCTGACATATGCACTCCCCCCAAATCTGGTGTTGGTGGAGAGCTTCCCTGATCCACAGCGGAGAGGAGTCAGGGAGGAATACAGGGTCCGATCTGCCTGTTCTCAGGGAAGAATTTGGGTGCTGGTTTCAGGGTCCCAAACTGAGACATTCATTTCATGATGCCTGTCCTTGAAGAGCCCAGAGCACCCAACTCCAGGAGACCTTCTATCAGGATCATTACAGGGTAGAAGGAGCCCAGCAGCAGAGACAGGTGTGGTCCTGGGGAGGCCCAGGGAAAAGAGGATCAAGGTTCAAAGCTAGCCTGGGCAAAATAGTTCATGAGACCCTATCTTGAAAAACACTTGTCACACACTCACACAAAAAGGCTGGTGGAGTGGCTCAAGGTGTAGGCCCTGAGTTCAAATCCCAGTATTGCCAAAACAAGGGGAGTGTCCCTATAGCTCCTGCAGAGGCAGGTTCTAGGATGGTGTGTTTGAGGAATGGCAAGGAGATAGGTGTGGCTGCTGGGGGTCGCAGGGGAGGAGTGTTCAGAGGACTCATCCTTGTGTCCCATGGCTGGTTGGGGATTGGGTAGACCTTGTTCTGGGGACCCTGCCTTTCCACTGGCTACTTGCTTACTGGAATAGGGTGTAAGAAGGTGTTCCAGGCAGACTACTGATGACTGGTGAGGCAAAGGTGGCCCGATTGCTCCTGGGCATCATTTGGGCATTCAGTCCTCCTCACTAGGGCCCAGCCACCCCACCACCTGGGCTTGGGTGAAGCAAGAATCAGCCTTTTGTGTGTGTCGTGTGCACCCCTTCCCCAAGTTTTCTCCCTGTCCAAATTCCCAGGTCCTTTGGAACTTCAGGGTTCAGAGATAGGCTCCTTCTTGCCACTGCTTCTGTGCTTTTGTCCTGTGTAATGGCACAGCTTAGGAAGGGTTTTCTTGGAGCTCTGTGGGGAGGGGTCTTTCAGAGCCACAGGACTGTCTGGGATCTGGGTCCTGGAATTCCATGGCAGCCACCAAGTACTGTGTGACTCTGCAAGTCCTCATACTTTTCAGAGCCTCCATTTCCCCATCTGCAGGTTGGGGTGATAAACCCTGGCTTCAAGTCCCAAAGAGAGTCTGGGCTGGGGCAAGAATCAAACCTGAGTCTAAATCCTGCTCCCAGCATTGAGCACTGGAGGGAAGGGCAGGCAGAACCAGGGGAAGGGGCAGTTCAGAGGAGTGGGGGTCCTCGGTACTGAACTTAGTGGTGGATGAGGCCCAGGGCATGGGCTGGAGGGAGGGGAGTCCCCACCGCTCTCCAGCTGTCCGGGGCCTCTTCTCTTCCCACCCCACTCTCCCTTGGCTGAGCTCAAAGCCAGCCGCCAATGCCCAAACAAGTGGCCTCTGTTCCCAGGGGAGGGGGAGGGGAGAAGTCCCTGGGCTCCAGGCCCGTCTGTCCAGCACTGACCCTGGCCCCCCGCTCCACACTCTAGGTCTTAACTCTTGGGGGCCTGGACTGGGCCCTGGGCTGCCTTAGGGCTGGTGCCCCGAGCCCACCACCTGTCCCTTCCCCCTGCTTCAGGCTCCAAGGGTTCTGAAGGCAATGCAGTAGGATACCTTCCCTCAGGAGCAGCATCCATTCTCAGGCTAGACTCAGCTCCCTCCACAGCCCTGTGCAGAAAGGGGTGTTTCCTGTTTTAAGGTTCTGAGCATAAGGGTATGGGGGGACCCCAGATATCCCCCTCCATTGAGCATTCCCCACAGAACTGAGGGCCTGAAGCCAACTCAACACCAGACCTGCAGGTCTGATCAGAGAGGACATGACATCTTGTCCACCTACCCGCCCCCCCCCCCTACCGCTAGCCAGGCCCCCAAATCTGTACAATTTAACTTGGGCTCTGGGGAGGACAGTCCCTGCTCAAAAAGGCAGGGATGATGTGAGGGCACAGTGTGTGACCCACATGTCTTCCACTTGACCTTCCTGTCAAATGTCTGTCTCTTACCCTATGGGTCATAGTTCAAAAAGCCAGCCTGTTTCATAATTAAGACATCTGTTCTAGATCACTGGGACAAAGTGGCTGGGAGGGGATATAGAGTTAAGTGACCAGTTAAACGACATTATTATTTAGTCCAGTGAAATAAATTATTTAATTATAGTAGTAATAGTAGCTATTGTTTCTTGGAAGCTATTTGCGCGAGGCAGTGTGCTAAGAATGTTATGTACTGATGACATTCAATCTTCAACAATAGTCAGAAAATCTGAAAAATGGGAATGGTAAGCACCATTCCCATTTTACAGATGAGGGAAACTGAGGTCAAGAGGTTAAGTGATTTGCCAGGGATCATCCATTTCTTAGTCTAACTGGGAGTTTGAATTTCTTTTGCTTCACACTGAGCACTCTGAGCGCTGAGATACATTGTAGACAGAGAAGGTCCAAACCCAGTCCCAACCCGGGAACTCCTGGTCCGGGTGATCAGAGATTGGAGGGCCACCTGGTCAGTGACATGGCTGGTGACCAGCTGTGGATCCGGGATGCTTGCATGGGATCCTGCTTACAGACTGGACTAATTGCCCCCAGGGATACAGCCCTAGAGTGTGTCTCCCAGAGGCCCAATTTCTTGTCCTGTTCCCCCTGGCTTTTGGTAATACTATGCTTCTCCTAGACCCCATTT